ATATATATATATATATATGCAAAATATGCAAAAATATATAAAATATATTATGATATTAAGATGAAGTAAAATGTTTAAGTTTCATACATTTAATTGAAATGATGAAAATGTGCATTTGCATAAGAATTTATAATTTAATATTAATATAGTTGAATGATTTTGTAAATGTCATTGCAATCTATCTTTTTTTGATGAAAATTTAATGATTTAGATAATCTTTTAAGATAAGGACCAGGACTATATATAAATGATCATATATCACAAATTTGGAAATTGTGAAACATGTTACATAAATTTTTCATAGGAACAATTTAAAATTTCAATCAAAATATGTTCTTTAAAGGGCAAATTTCATTATTCTATATTTTACTAGTAGATTACAAATTAAAATTTTTTATAAAGTAGAAATATAACACATATCTTGCTTTGGATATTTCATGTCTATTTGCATATCATATGCATTCTGTAGATTTTTCTATATTTATTAAATTTTCCATAAATGCATAAATATTTGTATTCTAGAAAGAATTTTTGGATTAATCATTCAGTATAAAATGCATAAATATTTCGCACAAAAATAACAAAAAAGGAAAGTTATGAATATATATCTGATTCTATAATCCCGATGGTCTGAGTGCATACTTTATAGAAATAGAGAAAGGAATGAAAAATATTAATGTGAAAATGTTAAAGAATATATGGTTCAGCGAGGAATTTAAAAAGCATTTATATCCAGTGCATTAAACGATAAGTTTTCAATATTCGAACGATTAAAAGGGAAAGTTGAACGATCAATAGGTAAAGGGAGAAGAAGTCGATGGTTAACGCGCGCGACAACGTCGCAGTGAATATACGAATTGAAATTGAAACTGTTTTGTTCGAGGTTGTAAACTGGGAACATGTGGAATCTTATCGCACGAAACTCTTTGCATTCTCGATAAAATAGAATGGTGAGTTATAAACAGAATGGTCGATGTGAGATTATTCTCAGCGGACTTTCGAATTCGCGAAATTGTACTGTTCTTGCTCGATCGATAACTAGTGGAATTATGTGTGAATTGGTAGAGAGAAATTTGCGTAATTTCGTTATTGATCGCATCACAATAATCATATGAATCTGCTTTTGATTGTTTTTTTTCTTTTACGATTAATTGATTATTGTATTATTCATAGGAATTTTTGTGAAAAAGATGGTAACATGTTGCTGGTAAATTTTTGGGGAACAGTTGCTAATAAATTTCTAGAGAATTGATTGGTGAATTTTAAGAAAATTGTTGTCATTGAATTGTGAGAGTATCAAGCGTCAGTGAATATTTAGAAAATTGAATATTTGAAAAGAAAGAAAAATGATTTATTTTAAATTTTATTTATATATAATATTTCTAATTAAACATAACAATAATAATAACGGTATCTATAAAACGATCATAAATCATGATCGATGTATTTTTCCACGTCTCCACAAGGTTAGGTTAAAAGCCGGTATACTAATTTCTATCCTCTGGGCAATTACAAGCGATGAACTATACCACTACGTGATTAATGCACATGTTAAACAAGATCACATTTTCCAATATTGACTAGATGTTTGGAAAACATTCCATCTCACGACAAAATGATTTTCGATATTACGGTTTAAATGTTTAGTTCGTAAATAGAACAATTCATTTAAACAATTATAATACAAGTAATAATTTAAAATTTGTATATAAAAAAAAAAAATAATTTATACAAAACTACAAATTTATAACTACAAACCACAAAACTTTTTTATGAAATCGAACACGATTCGTTCATTTCGAACAACAAGAAATAATAAAAAATAAATGTTGAAAAGGATCTATTCGCAACAGGGAAGCGAGTTACGATCAACTGACTCATGTCGTCGAATTAATCGGTAAACGAACGATAAAAGGCTTATCTAAAATTGCGAATGAAATCAGATTAACGAGCTCTGCGGGAGACATTGCGATCAGTCCGCAGTTAGATTAAATCGGCTAGACATCCATTACCGGCGCGTCACGAGAAAAGGGGTGAGAAACGAAAAGGAGAAGAGGAGACGATCTGTCTCGACGACTTTAAACAGATAGGAAGTTCAAAGCGGATAGATTTTGGGAGGAATTACGTAAGTAACTTCTAATTTTAGAGATATTAAAATTGTTTCTATCGAAAAATAATTTTTATATGTTTTTAGAAGGATAGATCGATTTTGTAACGAAAATTGTTTTTAATAAAAACATCGATGAGAAACGTTCGATGGTTTAATGGTTTTAAGGGACTAATCGATTATTTTTCAAAATTTATTTTGTTTGAAATATATTTGTAGAGATATATTTTCTTTTATTATTTTTCAAAGGTGAAAAATTTATTCGTAAATTTTTTTTTTAAAATATATAAATTTATTTTATTTTTTAAAGTGAAATATTTCGAAGAATAATCTGATTTAGGTTTTATTTGTTAAGGTAAAATAAACGATGCATTGAGGATTTATAGTTTTTATAAAATTGTGATATAACGTCACATGATTATTTAATATCGATTCAGGAAAAAAGTAATACATTTTAAATAACGATTTTCGATAGTGATTTACGAGAGGTTTAAAGTTATAATAATAATCCTCGAAATATCATCACCTGTCTAAAAAACATATATTTCTATAAATTTTCACAATTACATTTTCTATTTCTTCTCTTATTCTATTACTAAATTAAATTTCTCATAAAATCATCAAGTATAAAGAAGTATCATCTCTCTTCAATTGAGACATCTATAAAATAAATTAATAAATTAATCATTTTCATCTGTAAACAATTCAAAAACAATTCTTTACAACTGAAATATCTATTAAAATTAGAGAAAACTTTAAAGCGCTGTAACTTCGAAAATAGTGACTTTCAATCAACAAATGAAAGATCGTCAGAAACGCAGAACAGAATCTTGACATTTAAAATGCACTTTTATTCATCTCAACACGGATTTCCAATTCCGAAGATATCATTGTGTAAAGAAAGAACTAATTTTTTAATCATTTATTATTTGCATATTGTCGGCCTCTCTCTTGCATTCGTCTCACTAATCTATTCCAAACTTCAAACTAGTGACAATTGTGATTCCAGGAAGACACACGCATTTCTAGGAAAAAATATAAGTCACTGATGATTCAATAATCTCTCTCTGCATCGTCTTAATCGCTATGGATACTTTAAATTCTTATATCTCGACAACCGATTAAGATATCAAGATGAAACAAAAAAAGACTTCAGTGACACCGTTTCTTCTATTTTCTCAGTGAGTTTTGATAATCAAATTTTCAATTTTTTTTCACGTAATTTTCGCATGAAAATTTTCATTCATCCATGCATTGTTCGATAGGATGCGATGCGAATAGGATATCATTAATGGATCATCGAGGGTGTATCGGACGTTCGCAAGAAGGACGACAACCGGGCGACAAACGGCCACGATGGATACGCGTGAGGACGCGATTAATCGATGTTAAGAGCGTTATAATGATGTCGCCGTCGGGCAAATTCGAGTCTCGTAAAATAGCTTGTCGGAGATTCGTGGATTCTCCACGCGTATTCTGCCGAGGTCTCGACCAATAATTCAATGACGATTGATCCGTGCGTGCCATCGATGCCGCCAGAAAATCTAATACGCCAGTCAATCTTTCGCCTTCGGAGATTGATGAATTGGAATTTATCTTTGTTCGTACTGAATCCGAATATATTATCTCCAAGCCTATTTACGGAATTATTCAGTAATGAAATTACTGAAAAAAACAATAATAATTCGAGGTTTAAAATATGTTTGAAAATATTATAAAAATCGAATTTCTCTTAACTATTTCAATAATGAGTTATTAA